CGCTTATGGAGCGGTGTGTTTCCATTTTATCTTCCTGTTGCTCCGTTCTTGTGTCATGACGATAGGGCGATATGAACTTGTTCTGCCCTTTCCCACAGGACCCCTTTACCAAACAGGGATGTTGGAGTATTGTCACATGATGTAAACGCTCCTCTTTTCCCAAATAATCGCCTAAGCATGAGATAAAAGGATATTGTCGAAGATTCAGAAACGAGATTCAAGTGGATGAGTCGGATGGCCATACAAGAGATTACGCATATGAAGCACTTAGCATTTTCTCCAGTCAAACTGCTCATATATAGGGGTTCGAAGTAATCCCTTTCGACATGTTCGAAAAGTAACTCTGAATGTTTGTCTCCTGGTTGAGGAAACCAATTGTTTAGGGTACATGCTCAACCCATCGAAAATCTCCTTGCTCTTACCGTATTTGTGTTTTGCCTCACGAAATAAGCCATGCTCCCCTGAATACATGTCCGAACGTGAATATGTAGTGGTCGCCAAGAGAAAGAGCAGTCTGATACCCCGATGGTCACTCTCGTGAATGTGAGAATCCAGATGCGATCGGATGCAGGTGGTTATCGTTACCTCGAATTGAAGGCTTCCTGTGGAAACACGTTCGCACTCCTGAACCTCACATGTTGGAGAAGCTTCTGCCAATCTGCACTGAGCCCTTTCATTGGTTCTAAACTGAAAGAGAATGCCGAAAAACTGTGGAAATAACTTACAGAAAGTGACCTCTATGCAGATCCTCAATTAGGGATGGACAGCCTCCGTAATAAGCTGTGGCCCCGAAAACTAAGCAGAGCTTAGCTTGAACTTGTTTATTCCTCGTTTTGACTGGGATTTGTCACTGGGTACGATTTCGTGTGTTGAGAAATTTGCTCCTGCAACACAGCATCGTAGCGCTGGATAAAATTCTGATCTTTTTGTACTGAATGCCAGTTACGATGAAGGCAGCTTGAAGCAAGACTATCACAGTCTGATAACTGCATATTAGCGTCCTTCCATCGGATCCTCACGTAATAGCCGTCACCTCTGCGTTTAACGGCGCCATTAAAATTGCCCAAAACTTTTCATCCTTCTTCAAGTGTCAGTATACGCGTATGCCTGCTGTTTCCTTGCACTTTCCCATTTGTTCTCATTCTCGTTCTCTGTTGTCTTGACGTATTTGTGAACTATGTTTCCTTGCAGCTCGAAAGAGCAATACGTGTATCACTGAACGAGCCCTTAAAGGTTATCATTGGGACCTAGATGGAGAACATGTTTTGGTGGCTTTAGTTGCAGTGCGAAAATATTGCCAAATACAGAGGCCTGAGAGTAGAATTTTGAGAAAGACCTTCCTCCCTGCACTTCGTGGTCGCATTCCAACAGAATGCCATGCTCAACTTTTGATGATGTGGATATGATGGTGTCATATCAGTTGATTGAGAACCTCTTTGTCTGGATTCCATGAAAAAGAAGGCGCAAAATCTTTTGTGTAAAAGCCACTAGCTAGCAGATCCGACATGTAGAGTTGTCCGTCACTGACCCATGTTACTAGAGCCATTCGTCACTGTTCTTTTGACTTCGTTTGAGCCGAAGGTTCAGTAGCATAGCTGCCTTTCTTCGGTTATTGGGCGGCTTAGCTCTCCAGCCATGGCATTTTTGATGAATGGATTCTCTGCTCTGACTATTCTTATAGTGTGACCATGCTGTTCTGCATTTGCTCCAAAGTTGGCTTTTTACTTGCCATTAGATTCACATTTACTCTCGTCTTGTTGCCGTTTTCTCTACTCTTGTGAACAGCTGTTGTAAACGCCAATGAGTTCCGAGGTGTGAATCGTTTGCAGGGGATGCCTTCGAGTTACTACGGGTTGAAGGAGGCACGATGGGTGGCACGACGGTTGCTTTTCTGATGCTGCATGATTCGTTGGTTCCGAAAAGTGGCACGTGTTCCTTCTTCGTAACTGATGTTCCCGTTCCTGCTGTGCTTTCTGTTTCCCACAAACTTGCTCTCTGCTCTCCTTTCTAGTACATCTATGAATACATTCACTTTTGCAGAAATCAGCTGCTTCCCGCCTCTACACCGTGAATCGGCAACTTTCCTGCTTTATCTGAATGAACATGGATCATTTTTTGCCAGAGAGAATATCGTCCACCAAGTCGGAAAGATTCCGCACTGGCGCTGTTCAAAAACATGAATGAAGTGATCACTTTCTATAAAGACCTCCTTTTGCTAAATTTCCTTCTCTTTTCAAGGCTTCGCTCTTGGCAATCAACTTGTTATCGTAGTAGATTAAGAGTCGCTTTTATGAGGCTACTACGCCTCCACATCGCAGTTAAACGTACTATGATGAAGATCAGGTGGGCCGAACACGATGTGCGATATCGTGATGTCCTTGGACTAGGGCGGTTAACGATTGGATCTCTTGGGACGTTAAACGGAGACCAGGACGGCCGTCAACGCGATGGTCAACTTCGTCACGAAAGCTCTGGGCAAAAGGAATGCATTGCGCCGTGATTTTGAACATTTGATTTTCTGACCGACGTTCTTGTCTGAGATGATCATGTATCATGTTGGGATGCGATTTCCTTTTGTAACATTCTGGACTTTTCAGCTTCAAGACCGAAGTTCATTTGCGTGCACGATTCGTAGAGCACATCATTTCTGAGGGGGGGGGGGGGGGGGTGAGATTCCGCGTTTAAATTAAAAGTATAAATATATGTAGCAGACAAGTAAGAAAATGACAACGTTTGTTGGATCTAGCCAGATTCATGATTGCATTCGCGATACTTACGTCATTGAAGCTAAGGTTGTTTGAGGAACAAGCGTGCTGTTTTGCCAAGATATCCGTCGTCTGTAGTATTCCAGAGGATCCATTTGCACACAGGGTGTCTTTCTAGGCGGAGTTGTACTGAAGTTGTGTAACATGTGCGCCATGAGTTGCCTCTTTTGGATTGATTCGAAGACTGCGATACTGCCCCCACTTGTCACAGGGATTGTGTACCGGTAGTTGAGGTTTACGATACTGATGAGAGTGAGCTGCAGATTATTTCGGCGATTTGTACAGGGTTAGGCAGTCAGACCGCACGATTCTAATCATCAAAAACAGAGAGAGGAACAGTTTTTTGGTCTTGTAATGCAGCAATTCTTGAGATCACAGATGGAAAATTCGATTCAAACAGAAATAAAAAAAAAATTTTGGGGGAGGGCCGTCTAAAATCACGATCAACAAAGCAGGTAGAGTGGAGAGGGTGCGCAGTGAGGGAAGTATGCAGTGATTTAACCGTTCTGCACACATGGAAATCAGTAACAATGTAACAACTGGTAACAGTGTGTTTCCGCTGTTACAGCGCATTTATGAAATGGCCGAAGATAAATACGTGCACAGCACGAACTCCGCCGACATTTTCATCCTGCGCCTCGTGCTCGATTCCAAGGAGCCACATTAAAAAAATGAATGTTTAAATTGAATATTTATTGTTTGAATTCAAATGTCCATTTATCTTATTCCACTCTCTTGCAATACATTACTGAAAAACTGTTTTTGTGTTTTTCAATGCTTAGACCGTGCGGTTTAACTGTCTACACTGTATGTCCTGGAAAAGTGACACCAGTGTGTGAGGTTGTACTGTTCTTTTGAGTCACTATGACCTGAGAAATCGCTGTTCGACTCTTTCTTCGGTGAAGACCTTGTTTCACTGTCTAGTTAGATGATTTCGCGTAGCACTGTTATTAATCTGAGCTATCGACGAGCCCCGCAAATTACCCATCCCGAACCATCGTGCCGACGTAATATTCGCTGGAATGCATCACATACATAGATTCTAGTGGACTCGTGGGAAATTCGGTCATGTATGAAACACCCATTTTTACTGTTCAGCTTCATTTGAGCGAAATTTGTAGCTTGAGTCTCCTATGATTTGAGGTGGCTCATGCAGAAATGGTGGCATCTCACTCAGACAATGAGTCTCAATTCTACTGTTCAAAAGTGCACATGAACATAACATAAGAAAACTCAGAAGTGTATAAATCATTTTCATCTTATCGAATCATATGAGTCTTACCCGAAAAAACAAATACTTCATATGTCGAATTGCGAAAAATTGAATGTTTAATATTCGAATGAAAGTTCTCATTTATGTTTATAAGATGTGTGGCAATGAGTGGTTGTGATAATTCCAATGACTTGTTTGATACAATTTTGTCACATTCAACAATTGCAATAAGAATATGTGGCACTATTGCACTATTACACCCCCAGTGGGGGTGATATGGGTCAAAAGTTTTTTCGCTGAAAACTTGCACCAGGAGGGTTATCGAGGCCGCTGATCACGAATATGGTATCCATTTCTGGCGCTGCGACAAATTGGCGCCAAATTGGCGGCGCATTGTCCTCTGACTTCTGCCCTCTTCAGGGTTGGGAATCAAAGTCAACGTGAGCGGTAGCACCAAAATGCCACCTACTCGCCCGTAACTACACAAGTCCTCGCTAAGTAATTACAAACATATGTAACAGTTTATTCAGAGTTGTCCTTGCTCTCTTGCTCTGACCAGCTCTGCGACTTCAAATGTGGCCCTAGAGAGGGCCGTCAGGGGTCAGCTCACGAAGGATGTCGAACTCGTTCAGCAGGGGTATAGTGCTGCTACCTGGTCCCAGAAGTTGTACAGGGCCTCACGTCGATCTCCAAATTGTTTTTTCCATAAGAAATCCTGCATGTAGTCCTCATATCGAGCGTTGTTAATGCCATAGCGTCGCNGGCCCTAGAGAGGGCCGTCAGGGGTCAGCTCACGAAGGATGTCGAACTCGTTCAGCAGGGGTATAGTGCTGCTACCTGGTCCCAGAAGTTGTACAGGGCCTCACGTCGATCTCCAAATTGTTTTTTCCATAAGAAATCCTGCATGTAGTCCTCATATCGAGCGTTGTTAATGCCATAGCGTCGCTTTCCCACCTCCTTGTATTTTTGCCAGGGTGACTCAACATGCTGAGTATGTGCTCCAGTTCTGGGATCGACGAAGTTCAACTGATGGTTGACCTGGAGGTGTCTGTATCCGAGGGGCAGAATGGAGATATGAGAGTAAGCTCTCCAGCTGTCGCTGAATATGGTGGTCCCGGGTCTGTACTTCGTGATGAGACGCAGGAGACTGGGGGCATCCCTCCTCCGAACAAGGGTGAGGAGAGCTCGACCGCTTTTCCTCTCGATGCTCCCGAAAAGCCATTGGTGTCTACGCACTCAGCGTCCTAGGTTGTATTTGTGCCGAGTAACCAGGGTTTCGTCGATTTTCACTTCACATCCGAATCCTCCGATGATTGGTGGGTTTCTTCTGAAGTGTTCTGCGCACACGTCACGGGATCATTTCTCCCACTGAACTACGGTACGAGGATTCATGTGAAACTCGTACGCTTTGTCCTTTACCTTTCCCATGTCGTGGAGCGAGAAGTAGGACAGAGCAAACACAGTCCACTTGCCGAGGTTGAACTTGTCGAAGAGCGAGCCTTTTCTAGCAGGAACGTAGACCTTCGTTTCGTTTCGTTCGTCGGTCCAGTACGGCACGATCTTCGGTTACACACCCAGCCATTGTGGTGATCGTCGTTCTCGGCGTCATGGGTACTTGGCACGATGGGCATAGCGCTGTAGGCATTAGCCCCATAGATCGCAGCCAATCCTGGAACTGTAGGTGATCCATCTGGAGTTTTTCGAAGACATCCTTCAATTAGAAATCCATCAACTCCTGCTGACGATTGCGTTGCCTCAAAACGTTGACAGCCGTTGCTTCACTTTGGTAACGAAAGCGAGAAATGAATCTACGGCCACTCATGCCGATTCCTTGGCTGCCTGCAAGCGTCGCTTATGTCTGGGGTCATACCGTTTTCCCAAGCCCTGGCTGTCTCCAAGCGTGGGAAAACGCTTCTGACCTCTTTTCGGTTTCATTCCGTCTGCTCGAGAGGTCTGAAGAGCAGTTTCTAACGTGCCCTCAGGTAACTGGGCTCAACCTATTATCGGAGAGAGCTACACAATCCACAAAGAATGCCGTATTCGTGATCAGCGGCCTCGATAACCCCTTTACACAAGTTCACGGCGAATTTCGTAAAAACACCCTTGGCGCCAACAGGCGCCAAATGGCGCCGATTTGGCACCAGCGCTAAAAACAGATATCATATTCGTGATCAGCGGCCTCGATAACCCCCTGGTGCAAGTTTCAGGGGGAAAATTTCTTTGACCCATATCACCCCTCCCCACTGGGGTGTAATAGTGCAATTGTGCCGAATATTTACTATTTGTACAAATCCTTACAGCCCAGCTCTGAAAATTCTCCGCTGTATAGCATTGCTAACTTTATCGGAGATGAAGGAAAGAAATAGCGGTAACTTATTTTTGCTCGTAGCACGCTGCGTATTAGGGCGAGATCCCATACAGCCTTAGGACACCGTATAACCGTTCACAGCAGCAACCTCACAAGCTAAACGTCGGGATTCGAGCCGCTCAGCTTCATCCGTGCAGACACTTGTTGCTGTTTTCAACATGTTGCTGATGACTGCACGTTCAACGGCACAAGAATATCGTAATCATAAACAACCATGCCGAGCTCGAAGCAAGGGAGAAGTTGGAGACTGATTGCAATTAGAATTTTAGTTGTATAATTTTTTTATTCGGAAGTCAGTGCTTCCATTTCCATTTTTCATTTTGAACTTGACTCAACCAGCAGCCGATCTTGGTTGCTGCAACACAAGGTATGGTTATTAACTTTAGACTGCTTTTTTAGTATCAGCTGCTATGTTGACTTCCTGACGAAAGTTTAGTGCCGAAATTGAATCTATCTAATATCAATCCTGAAAAAAGATTTTACAACAACAGTGGTAATTGTAAGCCAGAAGGGTCACCAGCTCAAGCAGCTGTTCCCTACTTTTTGTGTTAACAATGTAATACTGATGTCTGCTATTCCCCCTTTCTCTTCGCAGCTCAAAAAATGGATAAGTAGTGGGCTCATATCGAGCGTATATGTCGGCACTGATTGAAATCGGTTGATCATTATCGATCGCTATAATTACAGCTGTGCTACCACCATATCTCTTCGACCTACTTGTAGTTTGAACACGTCAAAATAGGAGTTAGAGGTTGTAAGCAAACCGTCAATTGTCTAACAGATAAATATAAACCGGTCTGTCAGAAGAGCGCGGAGGGCGTTTGGGTAAATTCTCGAGAACATTGAAGGAGTAGTGAAGAAGACAAGTAACATCTGGCTACGCGCTCACCTTTTCGACACTGCCGTTCTCCTCCTTTGTCGTATGCCTCAGAGGCTTGGACGCTACGAAAGCAGGATTAACATGCAACCAGCGTCATTAAAAGCCCAGTTCACGATAAAATGGTCTCTGAGGGCTACTTCTGGGAATATCCAGTGACCTCCAAGGTTAATAGTGAGAACACTGCCGACCCAGAAACTCAACAGCTAGGGCATAATGGGCGCCAGGATGCCCCGCCACTCGATCGATGACACGTCAGACGAGTGTCAAAGCGATAAAGATTGCAATATTAGTTCCAGGACCAATACACAATCAACTATCGCTGAGTGATAGGGCGATGTTTTCTTCCTTTCTGTAATGCTCTGTTATTCTTTTTGCTGCTGCGATACTTTAGTTAATACCCTACTCCAAAAGGCCTGAAAAAGTTAGATTATTCTTGCTGTTACTAACGCTTTTGTTTACTCATGCATATGAGTAAATAAATCTCAGAGAACATTTTTGCTCACTGTAGTCAGCTGTTCGCTCCGGGAACCTCTCGTACGCAGTGACCAACATTATGTAGCTCGTCTGGAAACCGATTCTTCTCCATTTTTTTGGTTCAAGCCTTTTATCACTCAGGAAACGTCGATTCATGCACTTTCTTCGCCTTCGCCGCACTATTTTCCACCTTATCTCCCATTTTTCGTCATAATATGGACTACTCAACATTGCTGTGAACTGTGCCTTCAAATGCGCTGGGGTAGACATTTTTGGGATTCCTCATATAACACACGCAAATGCCAAGGAGATTCTCAGTTCCGAACTTTGTCAACGAACGAAGATCAGGACGATCGTTGCTTATGCCAAGAAAGTCAAGATCAGATTAGATTGTACACGTTTTGCAGCATTGTGATAATCATTCGGCTGAGCCGATTACCGACTAGAATTCTCGGAACGTCGGACCAATACCAGGACGTCCGCCAGCGAGGTGGTCAGACTTCTTAATGGAATCTCTGAGCGAAAGAAGTGCTATGCGTTGTATACCTCGAATGAGGACAGTGCACAGGACTGCTTTGGTTTGCGACAGGGACGAATGGCGACGTTACCAGCGCCCGCTCAAGGAAGTCGATGGTTAACGTGATGACAGCTGATTCATGTGGTAGACATCGTTGTTTTCGATGTCTGTAGATGACATAATGCAAGATTTTTCTGTCGGAAAGCCGACCCCATATCCGTGGCGTGGCTGTCCAGTATCCGCCTTCTTTTTTTCTGGTGTGACCGCGCCGGCACCTTTCTTTCATTTCATCTCAACACTATGAAGCGATTCTCCACCCGTCGCACGCAGTCACACATCTTGGAAACACGGACGGTAATCCACCTCTTATTTGCTCACCCCAAGCAGTTTCTTGAACTTTCACACAATTTCAATTTCTGGGTCCGGATGGCGTAGCCTACCTCAACCACATCAAGAGAAAACCGTCTTGCTAATATCAAAACATTAAATTGTCCGTAGCCCTGTAGGTCACCCAGTCGAGACGACAATTATTCTTTCCTCCACTCAGGATAGTTTGCTTTTCTCACAGGTGCACCTTGTCTTGGAATCCTATCTGTCGTGAGTCATCCTATCATTACTGGGTGAAAGTCCTTATAGCACCAACTACCAGATGAGAAAAAATGAATGTAGTGAAGCGGAAATGTTATTGGGCTCCTTTGTTTCTTAATACTTATATTTTCGTGGAGTGGTAGTTAGAACACCGATGGGAGACAAAGTAATAATCTACATCGCCATCACTCGAAAAGTAAAAGAAGACGGATGAAACAGGGGAAGGAACTAGGAGAACAATAAATTTCTCTTCAAGCGGGCAGTGTGTCCTCATCTCGATTCTGCTCGAATGGGCACTAACACTTTTGTTGTTCTTATTTCTTTCAGAGAACGGAGGTGTCAACAGTCTCGAGGACTAGAGAATGGATCCTACGGAAGTCGAAGTGGAATAAATTGTCTTCTGTGTTTGCACTCAAAATTAAAGACAATAATAGTTAAATCATCTGGCCCTATTTACCCGAATTCTTCGGTTGTTCAATGTTGCTCTGTATCACTGGATATTTCATGCCATTTGTAGAGCGAAGCAGACTAAAACATAAATGATGAAGGGTTACGAAGTCTATTTCTCAAGTCGATTGTTACCCTATTTATAATTGATCAGGTCGAATGCAATTCGATGCGTTTGTATAACAGTACTTGTACTTCCTCAAATTAATGAAATTTTCTCGAGCAGATGTATGTCAAACTCATGGAATGTGCATCGAATGAATTTTCTTTCTTTTCAGAAAATGTTAGGTAGAAAATGCAGCATGAAGGCGACAAATTATTAAGCGTTTCTTCAAAATATACTCGACAAGGTTACCAATCGTTGCCACTAACAAAAGAGGATGTGGCATACATTTCACCATCTAATCGAACAAATAGGGTCAAAACCATAACAGCTTTCTATCGAGTTTGCTGATTGAGTCTTTCGCATAACAAGGGTGCAAGAAGCCCTACCAGAAAAGTTTGACGCAGTGTCTGTTGGCCGTTTTAATTCCTTGTCGCCCATTCGTCGCTTTATGCACCATACAGCAGAA